CCACTTCCTGCTGCCACAGAGATGCTGAGTGCAGCGGACCAGGAAAGGGCAGCAGGGCAAAGCAGAGAAGGCTGCTGGGCTGCTTCATCTCCCACCACCATGGTGAGTGCAGGGGGGGCAACACCTGCTCCCACCACACCAGGCCCCTAATAATCCCATGGGTCCTGTCCATAGGACAGGGCCCCCAAAAGTGCCTGGCTTGGGGCAGCCACCCCAAACCAGCCTACGAGCGGGATGGCTCAGCATAGGGGCACGGCAGACAGCTGCCCTGAATGGAACGATGCACAGGACTTCCACAGCTCACCTAACAGCCTTTTAGACATGTCAGCCAGCACACCCATGGACCAGGCCTGCCCCAGAACTCATCTCCCTCGCAGGAGCAGGCCACCGGCAATTTTGCTCTCCTCGTCCTATAATTAGGCTCATTTGGGGAGGAGACACCACACCATTTGCACTAGACCTGACTACTTAGGAACAGAGGAATGGAGATCAAATAGCTAAGTCTTGGCCCAGCTCCTCAGCTGATGTAAATTGGTACAGTTCTGTTGAAGCCAATGGTACAGCTGATTTACGCCAGCTGGGAATCTGGCCCCCACAGTCGCTGTAGGCCTGATGCAGCTACACCGTTGGCAACACTGACATAGACAAATTACTGGCAGACAAGGACATGGAAGCACTGGGCAATGTAGACGTGTTACAAGCAAGGTTAGACCATGGGATATGTCAAGCGTGGGTGGGGAGAGAGGGGAAGGGAGAAAGGTTCCTGTTGTCCCATTGTCACTAGCACTCCTCTGTCACTATAAATAGCAAAGCTGGACTGCTGGGAGCAATGGTAGTAGATTTTTTGGGGGCGGGGAAGCCTAGCGTATGCCCATCCTGCAATGGTTGGTTTATGCCCTGAAGCAGGATGGTTAGTGTCCTTGATATATTTTTATCCTGTGTAGTGAAACTATGGAGGAAATTCTGATTACACAGCTTAATGTCTACTCTTTGTTTGACCTCTAAGTTCTCTTCAAAATACACTGTGCAGTCAGTTCCAGTTTGATTAGTCTAGTGTAAAAAAGGATGTATTTTATCAGTTTTAAATTTGCTGCCCTTTCATTTAATTGAAGGCCCCCTTGCTCTTGAAGTATTAGAAAGGTCAAGCCGGGGCTATAGGTTCGCCTTACTCTTCTACTCAGCGTGGGATTCAACTCCCAATTCTGCCACAGACTTCCTGCGTGACCATGGGCATGTCATTTAGCTTTCTGTGCCTCAATGCCCATCTGTAAAACAGGGTTACTAGCCCTCATCTATCTCACAGAAGAGTTGTGAAGAGAAATACATTACAGACTAAGGTGGGGGCCATATATGTAACTAAATACATGAATGAATAGGAGGAGTTGCTGATTCACCTTCTTTATACCATATTTCCTATTTGTTGTTATACAGTTCTATTAACAGCCTCTTTGTCTTCTCAAAAGGATATCAACCCAATCTATGTACTTTCCCCTTATGGGGAGGAATTTATATGGCCTTTCTTTGGCCCTTCCTTTTTCTGCTGTGCTGTTTTTGAGACAGGAGGATGCCATATTAAAGGTATTCCTGTGTCACCATTAAACTAGCAACAAGAACAGGAGGCAAGAGAAGCAGGGATCTGGACACTTAGCAGTTATATGGTAGGATAGTGGCTATGAAGTGAGCTATAAGGGACAGAGGTTCAACCGCAGTTCCCCAATATGAGAAATCTCCACCCACATTAATCATGGGCTGCACTTCAGCCTAATGTGTCACAGCAGGCTGGCCTGGGAAGAATGGAACTAATGGACACTGAAGTTAGCAAATTGAAATGCATACCCCAGGCTTGACTACACTGAGCACAGTCTCTGTCGCTCTATAGACAACTCCTCCCGTTTCATCATAACCACGTTTAAAACAAACAAAAGGAAGTTTTTCTTCACACAGCTCACAGTCAACCTGTGGAACTCCCTTGCCAGAAGATTTTATGAAGACCAGGACTTTAACAGGGTTCAGAAAAGAACTAGATACACTCATGGAGGTTAGGTCCATCAATACTTATGAGCCAGATTGGGTAGGAATGGTGTCCCTATACGCTCTTTGGTGGGGGCTGGAAATGGATGATTATCTGTTGTGTTCACTCCCTCTGGGGCATCTGGCATTGGCCACTGTTGGGAGACAGGATACTGGGCTAGATGGACCTTTGGTCTGAACCAGTATGGCTGTTCTTATATTCTTAGGAAGGGGGTTTGCATGTGCACAGAGGACAGAGCTGCAGTTTTCTTACCAGTCACTGGATTGGCCCCTGGGTTCCCAGAACTGTTCTGCTTGGAGTTCTCATGTAGGAGCTGGAACCAGTCCCGCAAACGGTCCCCCAAGTCTGCTAAGTCCTGCCCAGTACACGTCTCTGGAAATCAGACGGCAAACTATTACACACACATCCCAGCTGCTGACAAGGGCTGGGAGGACGGAAATGATGCTTCGATTGGATAGTGAGGGTAGCTGCCTAGCAAGGGGCACAAACATGGCTTTGGAAGCATGGGCATTGACGCAGCCCAGATCCATTTCTGGGGATGGCAATAGAAGAAGCCTGTGGTCATAATCTCAAGCACAGAGAAACGTAAAAGGGGGGAAAAGGTGGAGTCCTAAAAGATCTCCCTGAATGCACTCCTCCAGCTAGCGACTTCCTCAACGAACAGTGCCTGGATCTGCTGCCAGCGTTCACTTGGATGCAGAGATAACGAACGAACTCCAGCTTCCTGGGGCTGCTCACAACTTGGCTTCTTTGACCTCCTGGCTTCTCAGACAGGTCCTCTGGGGATGTCTCTTCCAAACAGTCCCCTCTGGGGAAGAGTATGCTGCCTGAAAGTGTCTGTTACAACACTGTCCATCTCACTGGGCTTCTGTCTATACTGTCTCTGGTGCACTCATCGTTTTTCCTCTCTCGTTCTCTCCTGCCACCCCTTTGGTTTCCATTCTCTTCTCCTTCACTTCACTTCTTGCTCTCCCTTCTGTCTCCATTATGCTCCCCCTCCTTACTACAGGCTTTGCTTTCAGAGCCAACACAGCTCCCATCAAAGCCAGAAGCAGTTTGCCACTCTCTGCATCACTGATCCATTTGCATCACTATGGATTTTTTATTTAGTGTCCAAGGTAGACATTTAGAAGTAACATGGCACACAAAACCCTGTCTGAGGGGTCTTAGTGGCTCCTGAACTGCCTTTTGCTTTGCAGAACTGTCCCTGGAAAACTGTTCAAATGTTGCCAGCTACACACTGACTAACGCAGGGGTCAGCAACCTACAGCATGTGTGTTGTAAATGGCACGTGAACAGATTTTCAGTGGCAGGTGGCACAGGGACTCTGCACAGAGCCCTGGGATTGAGGTCCTGCCCCTGCACACACACCGCTGCTGCTCTGCCCACCCCAACCCCGCTGGCATGCGGGGACCTGCAGGTAGGAGGGGTGGGAACAGGCTTCCCCTCCCCTGCGGCCTGGCTGGGACCGTCCCGAGCAGCCGCCACCACGTGAGATGAGCAGCTGGGGTCTGGGGTGTTGAGGGCTGGGGGGCAATGAGGCAGTGGGGGGCTGGGGAAGAGCAAAGCAATGGGGTGGGGGAAGTCCACCCCTGGTGCCTCCAAGAGCCACCTCGGCTCCCCGCCCGTTTTTACCAGGCAGCACAGGGACCCTATACGGATCCAGGAAACCCTCTCCCCACCCCCTCGTGGGAGGGGTAGGGAAGTAGGGGCAGGGGAAGTGGGGGCCAGGCTGAGGAGGTAATGGGGGAATTGGGGATGGGGACGTGATGGGGTCAGGCTCAGAGGGTTGGGGGGTTTGGAGTCATTTTTTTGTTTCTCACTTGTGTGGTCCCCAACGGATAGTTCCCCACCCCGACAAAGAAAACATTGAAAACTTGTGTGGGGGATTTAAATTAATGTTTTACTTTATTTAAAATGAAGTTTGATAAACATGAGAAAGTTAAAATGCTTGATCTGTTTAATAATTTAAATTAAACCGTTCTCCCCAGCTGCAGCCCTAGCAAAATGGCTCCAGTGTAATTATGTAATTAACTGTGAGTTTCCATTAGCAACTGGTGGTCCGCAGAAAGGTTTGCATTGAGCCAGGTGGTCTATGGACCAAAAAGTTTGAGAACCACTGCACTAGAGGGCAAGTGCTGTCCAGGCTGCAGCTCCAGAGCTGGGCAGCAGTGAGGGCAGCTGACGGGAGAGGAAAATGTGGGGGAGGGGTCCTTCTGCCCCAAAGCCACATTGGCCCCTGTCAGGAAGGCAAGGGCACCATGGACCAGACCCCCACAGGACCCTGCCCCCTGCAGGGCTGAACACCCTGGGGTCACCCCACCTTGCCCATTTCCCTGAACTGCTCCCCCGAACCACCCTGACCCCAGCCTGTGTTGGAGATCCAGCATCATGCCCCTGCAAGATTGGAGCCAGTGCTGGCTTCCTGCAGAGGGGAGCTCCGAGGCTCCACACCACATCCAGCTTCCAGGGAAGTGCATGTGCTGCTCCTTCCCTCCCTATAGGAAAAGCCAGAGTGGAGCCCAGGGTAGGAGACCAAGCAGGGTGCACGGTGGAAAGCGTCTCTGCCGCCCTCTCCCCTCCCCCCCGCCCGGAGAACAGCGCGACCCGGGGCAGGAGGGTTAAATCTGGGCACACCACTTTGGAAAGGTTGCCAACCCCGGCTCTAGCAGAAGCAGCTGGACTCCACTTCTGCAGCAGGAGACCAGTGTGCTCATGTATAAGGGAGAGGGAAGGAAAGAAAAATCTCATTGACTTAGTCCAAAGGCATAAGGCCAGCTGTGCTGGCACCTGCATTACTCATGTGTCCTCCTTTCCCCATTGCAGCCCATGTACTTTGCTGAATTATTTTCCAAGGGAAATAAAACAAGGGAAATAAAACAAACTTTCCCCATTGCAGCCCATGTACTTTGCTGATTTATTTTCTATCCAAGGGAAATAAAACAAACGGTGTGGCAGCCCCTCTCTTACCTTGTTTGACATCTGTGGTGGAGGTGGGGCCAATATCAGTTGGGCAGGGGCACTGGCCCTCACACTTCACTGCCAGCTGCTTGCTGGTGAGGCAGGCTTGCTGCTCCAGTTTACACTGAGAGAAGGAGCAGGGAGTCAGTGCAACAAGCATGATCCTGCTCTGAGCACTCTGCAGCTCACACCACCCAAACCACCTTTATTCTTGGATGGAGAAGGACACTCTAGTCCCCGGGAGAACAAGCTCAGTGCCAAGCCCCACCAGGTGTGAACGCAGGGAGCTGGCCCATCGCCTCCGAATCGCCATAAACAAGAAGGAGCCCATCAGAAATGTGCTCGTCTGGGTTTCATGTTTCCACGCTTGCCAGAACACATTTCAAAAAGCACGGACCATGCGTCGGGCCGATCCATTGCACTGATCTTGCTGCTGCTTTTGTGTAATCTTCTCAAGCAAGCCCAATCCCAGCAACAGAGGAGGTCTCTGCAGGTACCACTTTCTACCCAGTCACCACTATCATCTATACAGAAATACATAGGCCACATCACTCCCCTTAGCCTGGCATTCTCATCCCCATTCTAACTTCCAGGCTCTTGGTGCTGCGCTCCCTAGGTGAGGTGGGTTTCTTGCAGCCCTGCGAAGTCAGGGCGCAGAGGAAGGGACAGACCACTCCCGCCCAGTATTCTGCGAGGCAGCGCATATCCATTTCTGGCAGCTCTGAAAGCTGAGGATAAAGGCTTAAGCAATACAGGTTCCCATCTTCTAGTTTCCAGATCTACAGGCAAATGAGCCAAGAGTCACTCCTGAGCCATGCTTTGCTGTCAAGCTTTGGGGTACCATACACTGTACCATACACAGTGCACAATAGATCCACTGTTAATGGTACCATCACACCATTATGCAAAATCCAACACTGTGATGCACCTCACCAGCATGAGCTCACCTCACCACTCCTGAGACTCCCTTCGTGGACAACTGAGCCAAACTGCTCAGCCATGCCTGCGTCTCTGCACCAAACCCAGAGAGCACGGCTAGGGAATTGTCACACACACAGCCTGAGCGCCAGTGCAGACCTGTGCTGACTCTTCACTGGACGCCATGGAGCACAGCATCTCCCCACAGCCAACCCTTTGACACCCACCCTCCCAGAGCCTTTTCAGCCCCACTCACCACAGAGCTGTAAGTGTGTCCATCCGAGCCACAGACAGATGCGAGCTGGGTCATGTGACATGGTTTGCAAAAGCTTTCTTTGTTTCCATGGTGTTTCAGGGCAGGCTGCTTGATTCTATGCATGGGGATGGGGAGGGAGAAAAGAGAGAGAGAGATGGGTAGGCGTTAGGTAGGTTCACCCACAATTCCTCATTTCTCAACAGAACTTGGTCAAGTTCCTCAAAGAAATCTGCCATTCTTCTCATTCTGTGGGAAGCCAGTCTCACTCTGCAGGCCCGCAGGCAGCTGTTCGCTAGCCTGTCAAACTGGGTGGGGAGCAGGAGGTGAAAGGAAGGCCTCTGTGAGGGGAAGGATGGAAGTGATCTTTGCAGCAACCGATTTAGAACCAAAGCCCACGTGATATTGTAGCTGATTGTCTTACCTGGCCTCAAGACTGCAAGGGAAGGCAGGTGGGAGGAGGCTCTCCAGTCCCAAGGGAATAATTGGTACAAGAGCAAGTGAATAAGACAATTCTTAAAAGCCACAGAAAAACAAATGCGGGAGACACCAACATTATAGGGTGTGATGAAAAGGGGCTTGGGCTGGTAAGACCATGTCTGCCTGAGGGGTCTGGGGGTAATCAGTGTCTCATCAATGCAGTTCTGACTGCTGGAATTGCAACAACCAACCACTCCAAACTCTTACCTAATTGTAAGCTAAACTGTAAAAAGTGAGACACTTACCTTCCTTCCTCCCCCCCCCCGGCATCTTCCCCCCCCCCCCCCCCGCATCCTCCTCCTGTTCTGAAATGTGATTTGTCCTTTTCATATGTGTTCATTTTTTTTAATTGTATCCTTTGGTATATATGGATGTGACTACTTTCTTCCACTATTTGATCTGAGGAAGTGGGTCTGGCCCACGAAAGCTCATCACCTATTAAACCATCTTGTTAGTCTTTAAAGTGCTACATTGTCCTGCATTTTGCTTCTGTAAAAAGTGAGTGAAAGTTCTCAAATTGTCACAGTGATCAATTATATACAATGGTTTAAGAAAAGACGAAAGGAGGAGATAGAAAAGCAGGAAGGGTATTACCCATAGCACTCAAGGGCTGTTTTAAGATTATCACTGGTAAATGAGCAGCAGAAGACCAGAAATCAGTTAATTCAAAGTGGGGCCAAAATTAGGCCAATTGGTCGGCAAAATTATAAGACTCTCTCATCCACCACTCCCCGTTTGGGGTCCTCAGACAGAGACTTTATGGGGGTCCACGATGCTGGATGGTGAAAAAAAAAAGGGGAAGGAATGAGTTGCCAGCCATGTCCACTGGGACTCCCAGACCTTCTTTATCCTAATCCTGAAAATTATTCTGACCAGACCAGGACACCAAGAGACACCCAGATGACATCACCACTTCCACCTGCTTCAGCTAAACTCCAAACATCACCTAGGATGTGAAACTTTGTCACTTCTTCATCCTCTACATGTTCTTTCCCTTCCCCATTGCCTTTCTTCTCTTTCCTATTCCTCTTTTTCCTTTTTCCCATAAGAGTCTGGTTAAAATGGCCAAGATGGGACATTTTGCAGCAGTGCTGTCAGCCTGCGACCAGAAAGAGGCAACTAAATGTAATGCCCCAAACAGTCTGGGTGGGCCTACCATGAGGCGAACTGAGGGGGGTGGGGGTGCCACTAGGACCCAGAGTGTAGAAAATTGTGTCTGCTGCTGGTGCATATGTATTCTCTCTGCTCCAGATGCACAGAGATGGTGGAGTGCTGTGCTGGAGGAAGGTGGGCACAAGAGACATAACAGGCAGGCAGGAGAAAAGGTGGCATGGGGGCGTCTTTTGAGTTCCCTGCCTCAGGTGCCAAAATGTTGTGGGCTGGCCCTGGATGTGGATACAAATTTGCCAGGTCTCAGAATGGCTGATAAGACTATGAACTGCGCCTGTGTTTCTGCAGCAGTGATGGTGCAAACAAGACTCAACTCCAGTAACAGAAACTGCATTTTCTGTCTTTGTGATTCTTTTCTTCCATTCTCGTCTGTGTTTCATTTGCTTTGTTTTCTAGGAAACAGGATCAGACTGTCATAACAGAAACAACAGCTCCAGACTGCAATAACTAACTCAGGGTAGGCAAGATATGGCCTGTGGGCCAGACCACCAAGCTGCTCGATCCAGCCGGTGGCTCTCCCAGTCCAGCCCATCAGCCACTCCATCGGGAGTGCACAGAGCAGCCATCCGCTTCAGACCAGCCCCATGCCACTTTAAGCGGCTGGCTACTCCTTATGTCTCTCTGCTCTAGGCACTGGGGAGAGAAGGCAGCATTGCAGAAACTGGCCAATGGGAGCGGAGAGATTTTGCCAGGGGCAGCACATGAAACTTTCTCCCCCTCGGTGCCCAAAGCAGCTAGACATTTTGAGCAACCTGGGGCTGAGGCAGGCAGGGAACCTACCTCAGTGTCCTGCAGCGCTGCTGTCCGAGAGCCACCTAGTAAGTGCCTGCTTCTTTTACCCCAGCACCTCCCTCCCCCCAGCTCCCTGCCCCAGGTCACCCTCTCCAGCCCCAGGTCAACATCCAAACCCTCTGCACCCCCTCCCCTTCCTCCCTCAGATCACAACTCCCTCCCAGACTCTGCAGCCCTTTCACATCCCTCCCCCCAGGCTAGAATCCTCTCCTGCACCCATGCCCCCTCCCAGACCCTGCACCTCAAGCCTCTGTCCCAGTTCATAACCCCCTCTTTCACCCATACTCCCTCCTTCACCCCAGTCTTCTACCCTGAGCTCCCTTCTGCACCCAACCTCCGTCTCAGACCCTGCATTCCCTCCATAAAAAAATGCAGCCCTAGACCACTTACCAAAATCTTGGGAGTGGCCTCCTTCAAAAGTTATTCCCCACCCCTGAACTAACTTCTCTTTTCCTCAAAAAGGACAGTTATTACCATCTTTAAAGACTGCCAATAAAAAGGCTTTTCCTTCTAAAAATCTCTTCAGCGCCAGAGAAAGGGAACAAAGGATGTTGCTAAAATGGCAGCCTTAACAGTTTACATTCCAAATGCTTTTACTGTTTCTTCTTTTTTTGTCTTTAAAAAGGCTAACAGAATCGTTTATGGATTTTTTGCCATGAGACCAATCAGGCCGAGGTCTTTGTGTACCAAGCCCCGAACCATGTTTAAAACTGTTCAATATTGGACAGTGACAGGATTATGCTAACATCTTTGGGCCCATATTTTCCATCTCAATTAATACAATAGGGCATGCAACTCTGGAACTCTCTTGCTTCCTGGTTATTAGCCTATGCCTGAAGCATTATTCCAGGCAAGCCCAGCAAATGTTTGTTTCCGATTGAGCTGGGAGGGGAGCAATTTCTATTCCACTTCATGTGCTTTGCAGGCTATAGGGATTGTCCAGTCAGAGAACAAACATGCCAGTGTTTTACTAGAGGCTATCTCTACACTTACTGCAGAGCACAGACTCTGCACGCCCCGAGCACGGACATAAACAACAGTATAAATGGGAAGATACTGCTTACGTGAGTAGAGAAAACACACACCAAAATTATAGGGCGTATACCCTACATGGCTCACCTCATGCACAAGTGGTGCCTCCCAAATCGACAATGCTCCGTTTAACAGTGCAGTGTCACAATGACAGAGCCTTTCCTCACCACCGGGAAAAGCTTCAACAGAGGGGAAAGACTCTGGCAGGTTGGGGGTTGTGTGTAGAGGACTCACGTCAGCAGCTCCCTGCTGTCAGAGACTTTCTCCTCTGCCTCTCTCCTCGCAGAGCCATTCACGGAGGCATGTAGCTATAACCCCACGGTGTGGATGCAGCCTGCTTTTCACTGAGGCATGTAGCTACACATACCCTACATGCTACCGCCAGTGCAGACAAAGCCTTTGAGTGCTGTTGGTAACTATTTGTGGTATGGTGCACAGGGCCCATCAGGCATGCATTTATTGTTCTTAAAATCAAATCTTTGGGAAGGGGTGATCACCTCTGAAGATACTAAATACCAAGATCACCTTTAATTATAACAACAATCTGTGGAGCTGCACCAGGCCTATGGCACTGAGGAAAACCGAAGGTGTTCGGAGCAAATTGCTACCAAATTCTGTTCTCCTATGGAGTGGGAGGGCTTGTTTATTTATGTTCCCACATTCTAAAAGCTTGGCAATGTCTTTCCAGTTGGCATTGTTGTTTTGTCCATGTTACCCTACGCTCCCCTCCCTGGCCAGTGTTTGGTTTGATGCCTTCGCACACAATCCCCATCCCACTCATGGCCCAAACCTACAACAAGAATCACCCTACCCAGAATACACTACCAACGATAAAAGACTCAGCCAGAAACTTTAGAGTATGGAGTGAAGGGAGGTTAATGAAAAAAGCGATCTGTAGTCTTTCCTGTCCAATAAGTTGTTGTTCCTGTCAGAGAGTTGTTGTTAACGGTGCTAAATCCTGCTGGAAAGGGATAACAAGTGGAGTTCCGCAAGGGTCTGTTTTGGGACCCGTACTGTTCAATATCTTCATCAATGATGTAGATATTGGGATAGAGAGTACGCTTATTAAGTTTGCAGATGATACCAAACTGGGTGGGGTTGCGACTTCTTTGGAGGATAGGGACATAATTCAAAATGACCTTAGCAAGTTAGAGAAATGGTCAGAGGTAAACAGGATGAGGTTTAATAAAGAGAGATGCAAAGTGCTCCACTTAGGAAGGAACAATCAGTTTCATACATACAAGATGGGAAGCGACTGTCTAGGAAGGAGCCTGGCGGAAAGGGATCTAGGGGTCATAGTGGACTACAAGTTGAATATGAGTCAACAGTGCGATGCTGTTGCAAAAAAAGCAAATATGATTCTAGGTTGTATCAACAGGTGTGTTGTAAGCAAAACTCGTAAAGTCATTCTGCCGCTCTACTCTGCACTAGTTAGGCCTCAGCTGGAGTACTGTGTCCAGTTCTGGGCGCCACATTTCAAGAAAGATGTGGAGAAATTGGAAAGGGTACAGAGAAGAGTGACAAGAATGATTAAAGGTTTAGAGAACATGACCTATGAAGCCAGGCTTCATGAACTGAGCTTGGTCCTGCCTTGAGGGCGGGGGGCTGGACTCGATGACCTCTCGAGGTCCCTTCCAGTCCTATTATTCTATGATTCTATGATTCTATGAAAGCCCTTTCAGCATTCTTGCTGCATCCCTAGTACTGCTGCTTGAGGTACAAATCCATCTGGCCTCAAGTGGACAGAAAAGTTCAGACCAAGTTTCACCCATGTTAATTAAGGAAGTCTTTCCTAATGCCAGATTCTGCCAGCGCCCCAGGTCTGCTTGTCACACAGGAATAAAGATGAAAAGAGCATGACTTTGATTTCTGTGTCCACTAGGAGTGGAGCACATGGATTAAAACAGCATCCAACCACCTGTCTATCACTCTCAGTTAATGCCTGACTTAGCAATAATGTGGCTTTTTTGGATTTAGCTCGGTTTAAAACACTATCATGGTCAAAC